CGATCTTACACCAAAATAACAGTCGGCAAATCGATCCTTCACCAAAATAACAGTCGGTATACACGATCTTACACCAAAATAACAGTCGGCATAGACGATCCTATACCAAAATAACAGTCGGCATACACGATCTTACACCAAAACAACAGTCGGTATACAGGATCCTACACCAAAATAACAGTGGACATGCACGATCTTACACCAAAATAACAGTCGGCATACACGATCCTACACCAAAATAACAGTCGGTATACACGATCTTAAACGCAAATCACAGTTGGCAAACACGATCCTACACCAAAATAACAGTCGGTATACATGATCAAACACCAAAACAACAGACGGTATACACGATCCTACACCAAAATAACAGTCGGCATACGCGATCCTACACCAAAATAACAGTCGGCACACACGATCCTACACCAAAATAACACTCGGCATACACGATCTTACACCAAAATAACAGTCGGCATACGCGATCCTACACCAAAATAACAGTCGGCATACACGATCCTACACCAAAATAACAGTCAGTATACAGGATCAAACACCAAAACAACAGACGGTATACACGATCCTATACCAAAATAACAGTCGGCATACGCGATCTTACACCAAAATAACAGTCGGCATACACGATCCTACACCAAAATAACACTCGATATACACGATCTTACACCAAAATAACAGTCGGCATACACGATCCTACACCAAAATAACAGTCGGTATACACGATCCTACACCAAAATAACAGTCCGTATACACGTTCTTACACCAAAATAACAGTGGACATGCACGATCAAACACCAAAACAACAGACGGTATACACGATCCTACACCAAAATAACAGTGGACATGCACGACCTTACACCAAAATAACAGTCGGCATACACGATCCTACACCAAAATAACAGTCGGTATACACGATCCTACACCAAAATAACAGTCCGTATACACGTTCTTACACCAAAATAACAGTGGACATGCACGATCTTACATCAAAAACAGTCGGCATACACGATCTTACACCAAAATAACAGTCGGTATACACGATCCTACACCAAAATAACAGTCGGTATACACGATCCTACACTAAAAGAACAGTCGGTATACACGATCTTAAACCCAAATCACAGTCGGAATACACGATCCTACACCAAAATAACAGTCGGCATACACGATCCTACACCAAAATAACAGTCGGTATACACGATCCTACACCAAAATAACAGTCGGCATACACGATCCTACACCAAAATAACAGTTCGTATACACGATCTTACACCAAAATAACAGTCGGCATACACGATCCTACACCAAAATAACAGTCGGTTTACACGATCCTATACAAAAACAACAGACGGTATACACGATCGTACACCAAAATAACAATCGGTATACACGATCTTAAACCCAAATAACAGTCGGCATACACGATCCTACACCAAAATAACAGTCGGTATACACGATCCTACACCAAAATAACAGTCGGTATACACGATCCTATACAAAAACAACAGACGGTATACACGATCGTACACCAAAATAACAATCGGTATACACGATCTTAAACCCAAATAACAGTTGGCATAACAAAGCTTCTACACCAAATAACATTCGCATAACAAAGCTCTACTTTGATATTAAGTATGGAATCTTTCACCCTAAATCACAGTCGGTATATACGATCTTACACCCAAAACAACAGTCGGCATACACGATCTTAAACCCAAACTAACAGTCGTCATACACGATCTTACGCTCGAAATATCAGTCGGCCGACTATTAGCGTACACCCTTTCAAAACATAGTGTTTTTATTACCCTTAAGATCTCTTTATTTAGCTTATCTTTTAAAAAAAGCAACATTCAATCTTCGTCACAATGTACGGAAGCGTAGTAGGGCCACGGTGAAAAATGTTTTGGGGGTCACTATCTCCTACGTAGGACTTAATATCTCCAACGTAGGACTTAGCATCTCCTACGTAGGACTTAATATCTCCTACGTAGGACTTAGCATCTCCTACGTAGGACTTACTATCTCCTACGTAGGACATACTATCTCCTACGTAGGACTCAAACAGTAAATGAAACACATAACTGTAGACTCTAATAGTGAATGAAACGAATGACTGTAGACTCTTACAGTGACTAAAACAGTGAAACAGGAGATTGTGTGCGTGGCTGGGGCTTTAAGTCGACCGTTTCAGATTAATCCATATAAACGTATATCGATCATCTCCTACAGGAAATATTAAGTACTACGTAGGAGATAGTAAGACCAAAAAACATTTTCACCGTGGCCCTACTACGCTTCCGTAAGAATGAGACGCAAAACGTTTCGCGATGATTTTTCCTGAACAGTCATAAAGGGAGATAACTCGTTCGGGCTTAGTTTATGATATAAATGATCGAATTTGAGGTTTTGTTAAACGACAAGTGAAATGCAGAAACATTTTACTTGTTTGACATTTGTATTGACACAAACAAATAAGAAATGATAGCAACAATTTTATTACTCTGTTTATATGCATAATTGTATAACTCGAATTTCGAAGCGATCAGCAGTTTGGCAGCCACATTCCATCTAAGGTCAACGTCATTTGTACAACCAGTACAGTGTGTCACGTGACAGATTTGACGGGGTGTTCGGTTCGTACACCCTGGCAAATCCTCCTACATGGTTTCGTATGCTTTGGCTATTGACCAATCAAAATTCGACAAATTTATCTTTAGGGTAATAAACGATCTTCCACCAAAATAATTGTCGGCATACACGCTCTTAAACCAAATAACAGTGGGCAAACACGATCCTACTCGGAAAAATGACATCGGCTCTGTTAGTATACTATGTGAGGCTTGCACGCTTTGCTGCAGGACAGTAATTGATATGGAGTGACAATATATAACCGGTACGTTCTGTTCCAAAAAATAAAAGCATAAATAAAGAAATCATGACTCTCACTTCAACAGATTTCAACACAATTAAACTATGTTTTATCATTATCAAAACTTTGGTCCAATTGCATGACAACACGTTTTCCTTTATTCAAAAGTAGTTTCCTGGTTTTCAAGAAACACAAATGTGTGTACTTTTTATCAGAGGAAGTTCAACTTTTCAAATTACAATCAAGTGTTATTGGTTAATCGTTTGTTACATTTTCCATTTTTGCCCTGCTGAGCTGCCACGTATGTTATTAAATAACATATAATTCCTTCACAACACCTGACGTGGATTTATAAGCCAATCTGGGATTGAATGATTACCCCCAGACAAGAGGAACATGGAAACCACTGATTGCTGTATGTCAATAACACACTAAGAGGCAGGACTGAACGTTAGTCACGCCAATAACCACCAAGACACACGTGTAAGGTGTATAATAGACCTTAACAGAAGGGAGTAATAATTAGTGTACTATATGAGTACACGATATAAGTAAGCTTCGCCTGTGTTTTAAGTATATGAACCCATGTTTATTGATTCAAAAATACGTACACGTATTTTCTATATACTGAACTGCATATACACGTTTACACACGCAGAAGATTTGCAGGGTGAAAAGGTTTAGAGTCAAGCATATAATCACCATCACACAAAGTTAGCGTTCTAACCCACTCAGCCACCATTTGAACAAAATGGAAGTCGGATAACTGGAAGTCTAGATCACATACTTTGTGTACCCCTCTGACAAATGTAAATTGACACGGCTCCCACGGCCGAATGCTGTGAGTTCATAATGCCACTTAAAAAGTGGTCAAATGTAACACATTTTCTATTTGGGATTACACTTTCTCAGTTTAGTTCAGATTCTAGTACTTTTGTTAATCTGAGTCCCTAAACCACTTACAACGCATTCCCAATCTGATTACAAATGATGCATGGAGACGTTTTAGTTTACTGTGGAGGATCCACAATACGAAAGGCTCAGAGTAATTTCACGACCTTTCACTGAAGTTTCAAATAAAGAATGACCCCCAACTAAGTACCCAGAAGAACTAGATAGATGTCTCTGTTGGGGCTTCGGGTTTGGGTTCTGAAACCCTTCTATCGCTGGCAATCACTTGACAAAGTTGATCGTTCTACTGACGCATGTATAACATGTATTGTTCATGGTTCCCAGCTCACAGTCACGCTTACACTCACACTCACTCACTAACATTCACACTCACTCACTAACATTCACACTCACTCACTAACATTCACACTCACTCACTAACATTCACACTCACCCTCACTCACTCACTAACATTCACACTCACTCTCACTAACATTCACACTCACTCACTAACATTCACACTCACTCTCACTAACATTCACACTCACTCACTAACATTCACACTCACTAACATTCACATTCACACTCACTCCCTAACATTCACACTCACTCTCACTAACATTCACACTCACTCACTAACATTCACACTCACTCACTATCATTCACACTCACTCTAACATTCACACTCACTCACTAACATTCACGCTCTATAACATTCACATTCACTCTCACTAACATTCACACTCACTCACTAACATTCACACTCACTCACTAACATTCACACTCACACTCACTAACATTCACACTCACTCACTAACATTCACACTCACTCTCACTAACATTCACACTCACTAACATTCACACTCGCTCACTAACATTCACACTCACTCTCACTAACATTCACACTCACTCTCACTAACATTCACACTCACTCTCACTAACATTCACACTCGCTCACTAACATTCACACTCACTCTCACTAACATTCACACTCACTCTCACTCACTAACATTCACACTCACTAACATTCACACTCACTCTCACTCACTAACATTCACACTCACACTCACAATCACAATAAATGTTCACTTTCCTTAAAATTGTATCACTGATTTCATATTCATGGCCCACGTTTTGCTCTGACTATTTATATCCACCAATGAGATTATTACTGCTTGTCCAATACAGTGATTGGTGGTGATGTTTGGTTATGTTGTAGATGAACGATATCTGGCGGTCCAAGAGTGCTGCATCGGAGGAAGAGAAACTAGTTCTTGAAGCTGAACTGAAACAAACGAAAGAAGACATGAGGGTCATGAGTATCATGCTAGAAAAGGTCAAGGACGAACTTTGTGAGAAGGAGAAGGTCATCGCCATATCAGAGACAAATATTAACGAAAACCTACGAGCTATCACAAGACGTGACGAAATTGTTCAGGAGCAGGACATGCTTCTGAAACAGCGCGACCAGGATTTCCGCATAATACTGGAACAAATTTCGAACAGGGACGAGGGTATACGAGAGTTAAGAGAAGCTGTAAGGAACCGTGACGAACGTTTGAAAGAAAAAGATGACATTTTGTGCAAACTTAATAACAGTTTAGATTGCAAGCAGCGAGATGTGAAAATGTTGAGTGATAAAGTTAAGGACTGCGGCGCTCAACTGAATGAAAAAGAGGCTGTCATATCTGTTTTGCAACAACAGATCTCCCACAATACCAGGAGAGATACTGGTAGTGAAACAGATATAGAAAAGGAAAACCGTAGACTTAAAGAAACTCTGAGGATACAGCAAAGTGACTTCGAGGAAATAACGCAAGAAAAATTGAAGGTTGCGAAGGATTTAGAAACATCAAGGAGAGCCTTAGATGAGGCTATGTTATTATGGACAAAAGATAAGGCTTACTTCGATAGGACAATAAACGTTGCTGATGAGAAAGTTAAACTATACGAAACGCTTCCTTCAATGAATAAGGATGAAATCGAAAAAGCTATGAAATCCGATGCTCATCAGTATTTTCAAGAGAAAGAAAAACTTGTATGTGAGATAAATAATCTTAGATTGGAACAGGAACTAGCCCTCAAATGTGTGCAGGAAGAGAATAGCAGTCTTCAGGCCGAGGTGGTGGATAAAGGAAGACAGCTGCGTCAAGAAACAGAAACACGCAGCAAACTTCAGCAGGATGTGGAAAGACTTTCGGCACAGGTAAAACTGCACAGATATCAGGGTTACACTGTGTCTTAGTTCAGGATATGTGTGGCTTATGGTAATATCCAAGGCTAAACTAGGGTTTTGTCGTAACAGTTTCAAAGTACTATTGTATTTGAGTAAAGTGCAGGTTTCAGCCGCCGTTCACACAGTTTACATTGTGAGGGCAGTATGTGAACAAACCAGACAATAAAGTCTCCGAGTGGCCAGAAAATCTGGTGACATGAAAGTGTGTTTACTGATTGTGTTGAAACAGAAAATGATGTGTTAATTGTGAATTGTCTGATGTGTACACCTGCAAAGAGTTCGGAGTGTTGCCATGTATCGTGGTGTGAATACCATTTACGTACACACCATTGGTCTATTTCATACAAATCAGACAGGACAGTCTGTAGCTTATATATCCAAAAGCTAAAATGACGTTCTATTTCCTGTATGAGAATGTACTTGGTGTATGCAATGCTCATCGAATGCAATAACGTGTCATTCATTACAATCACTGTAAGTGATGTCCCAAGTAAGGGATGAAATATTATTACATTTACTGAAACTGACTGGCTGTAAGTGATGTTCCAAGTTGGGGATGAACTATTATAAAACTTACAGAAACAGACAGGTAATATGCGATGTCCCCAGGCTGGAATGATCTTGTATTACCAGACGAGTAGCCTACCCTATTTTGATGTATTTCTATGCAATCTATTTTTAAGTTGCCTAAATGTTTTGTTTTCCAGGCTGATATGGCCTACAAAATACAACAGGAAGAAAGAGTTATTCGGGCAGAATACTTAGCCATGAAAGTGCGTTACGAAACCCGCTTTGAGAAGATGTCAAAGGACTACTCGAAGATGCTGTTGACGATTGAAAAACTCCAGAAAGAGCGGGATCTCGATAAAGCTATCATTCAGGGAATCCAAAAGGGCATGGCAGGCCTGAAGGATAAATACAGTTCAGAACTCATTAAGTGGGAGGATGAGAAAGCAAGACTGGAAAGACAAATTAAGGAGGTGGGAGATTTCTAAACTACCTTTACTGTTACAGACACAAACATATAGTATGACGCGTTTGTGAGAGAGAAGGGTGTAAAGTCACGTTTAACAGTACTGTCATCGTATAACAGTGTGCCAGTTTGATGATGAAGGAAAGCCAGAAGGGATGCTACTTTGGTTGACACTGCAAAAATGTTTAAATTTACAAGCTTGAAAAAGTCTTATAAAGATGAGATTTACAAGACATTTACAGTTTTGTAAAGATGACATTGACAAGACATTTACAATTATGTAATGATGAGAGATAAAAAAAAAATATTCTCTGTAAATATTTGTTAAGGGAGATAACTGGTATGCAATGTTATATGAATTCTCTGTATCGGTTAAATAGCAGTTTTACGTCCTGCTGTAGAGGCGTGTAACATTGCTGAAATCTGGCCATGTATACTACTTTGCGTAAGCGAGCTGACAAACCCTTCCAGTGATATTGACAGATAGGCTGATGAGGTGTCAGGTACTTCTCCTCGCGCGTTGCAAAGCATGTGATCAGACATTTATGGCCTAATACACATAGCAGATTAGAACACAAGGGTGGTTGCATTGGCGATGGCATATTTATTACAATCATTCGAAAGTGTTGAAATTGGTTTGATCAGTAAATGTGATTACTAACGTGTTCGGTTGGCTTTTAAAACTTGTACATGCCAATGCTTCTTCATACCAAAACTGCTACAGAAAAAACAGGGAGGAAAATTAGATTACCTATTTTGATAATGGAGCAGTCGAGACGGTGATTTTGTGAGGAGACATTCATTAGTAACTAAAGTGTTCACATAAGTAACTGTTAATGCATGTTATATAAAGACTAGTGAATTCTTTTGTGATATAGTGAGAATAACATGAACATGGTTTTAACTCAATTATTCATGTAAGAAGCCGCGGTGGCTGAATGGGTTGATGTTGTGTGCTGGCGATGGTTCATGGCCGGGAAGGCTAAACTTCCCTACTCCCTTTGGAAGTAGCTCTCCCGGGAAATCCGAAATATGAATTTTAGCCTTCCCGGGACATCTGAAAAATAAATTTTAGCCTTCCCGGCACGACACCCTGGCGGTTCGGTGACTTACTCTAAAAGTGTGGGTTCGAATACCGGATGGTATTCAACCCCCAAAATGTAATTGTTTGACCGGCATTCTATTATTTGGTGAGTCAGTAATGAAGCATACGTGTTTTTATTGCATAGAGCGACTTCTCGGTGTACATTCCGAAACTGTACTAGAGTCTGTACTTTACTAAATATAACACGTGTTCCATCTGACCTCTCTCTGAAATGGCATTGTGTTTTCAATGGCATTGTATATTTAAGTAAGAAAGTGGTTGATGAAAAAATAGGTTTAAATAGTAAGGATGGATATGCCATGGGTTTTCCATCTATATTGAAAATTGACACTCAAAGTCATTCATTGAATTTGTTATTTAACATCGAATACTAACTGGAACAAATGAGTGGCGAACCTTGTTTGATCAAAAAGTCGGCATTCGCAGCCTGCGTCCAGAAGGTAGTGATGGATATTCCGAGAAACGTATGTGAGTAGGATCACTTAAAATTTTGTTTGTTTGTTTGTTTAGAAATTTGCTGCTCATAATAACTGCCGATACTTTCGAAGCCCAATAATTTTAGACGTTGTGTTTACGATTTTTTAGAGTTTGTTTTTATTCTAAACAGGCAGGTTTCCGTACCAACTCAAGAAATTAAATGTTATGACACTTTGAATAAAATGTTTTAACTTCCACAAAAAATGCGACCATTGCTGTCCCATCTTATATATTTTCTCAGTGTTTTCATTCCAGGAGAGTTTTGAATCTAAGACAGTACCCAAATATTTGTATTCAGTTACTCTATCTATTTCATTATCTTCAATACTTACAGCATTTATTGTTCACTTATTTTTTCTAAATCTATGATCATATCTTTGGCGTTTTTGCACATTCAAAAATATAAAGTTCGATTTACACCATTGTACAAATTTTGAAATTTCAGCCCTGTACCTGAGTTCTGATTCTCTAATAAGGCCTACCAATGCATCAGCATCAGCGAATGTAACTGTAACACATGTTTCTGCGTTGGCTACATAGTCATTGGTGTACAATATATACAAAATTGGTGAAAATGAACTGGAACAGTAAGATTGTTCGTGCTCTCATATGTAGCTTCAAGATATTGAATGAAATATATGCTGTGTGATGAAACAGATCAGATATATAATATTGAAACGAAACTTCAACTTGGTACAGGTAGATTTCAATCAGCTACTCTACGAGGCTATTGTCTCACTTAATGTATTAGATCTCCAGTCAGGAATTTCCCATGATTGCTCACTCTCTGATGTATTTCACTGTGGTAATATGCGCATACTTTATTATGTAATTGTATGTTAAGTACATCTTGAAGAACAATAATTATGTGGGAAATTTGCCTGAGCATGTAACACCAATGTCATAAGCATTTTAGACGGAAGACACGCTCAACATCGAGGGAATATGGTATTTACATAGATTTTATATTTCTAACATGTTTTCTATTCATAGCTGCTGTCAAAAGATACCAGCCTCTGTACACATGTAAATACAAATTAAAACAAAAGTGGTGGTTCAGGAGTATATATTCAATGTCATGCAATAAAGAAAAAGTCAAGATGGCAGTTTCTATGTAAAGATTGGGTTCTTCTAAGTAAGTAACTTAAAGAGAAGTACAATAAATCTTTATAAACGTTTTAAATCCGAGATCGTTTTGGAAGATAGCAGTTTTCTCAAGTTTTGGAAATACCAGAACGTAGACCGAATTAACTTGGGAAACCTGATGTATTTCACATCAATAAGTAGATAGAAGAAATACCTACCCAATTATACCATCTCCCAAACTGAAACAAAAGAACATTCTCAAGCAGATCTCACTTGTTGCCTTTTATGACATGCAGTAAGCAGTATAGGGGACACATAACCAAGCGTATGATAACTACTTCTTGTTTATTGTATAGAGCGACGTTTCCACGTACCTCGTCAAGGATAAACAAGCAGATTGGATGATGATTTGAATATTTCATTGAAAGAGTCCATAGCTTGGACGATGGAGTGGATTTCAACTCTATCAATCAAGTGTTCATTTGTTCATTTAGCATCCAATCACACTGTTCTTTCTTTGAAAGGCATTTTAGAAGTTGTAAAGATGAAGGAAAACCAGGTTCTATGGATAATCAACTTCTTTAATGTGTCGCACTGATTGCAATAAAGAAGTTGACTATCCATAGAACCTGGCTTTCCTTCTGTTTACAATTTATTCAGTCTGTATATATACATCAAAAGACTGGTTTCAGTCCGTTATGCATACAGCAGAGAGTTATTTGAGTGCTTTAAACGCCCGGATTCTGCTTCTTGGATTGTCAGCACCACAGATCGTAGGCAGCGTCAATGTGGTAAATGTCTAAGAACTCCATCACGTAAGGCTTACACCGGGATAAAACAAGAAAACTGCCGAAAGCATTAAACACAACTCACCACTCGGCACGTTACCCTTTCATAAATACACTGTTTTAGTACGTTGTACATACAGCAACAGACTGGCACACATAAACTTTAGGTATTGGTCGATATCATACTGACAAGTCTTGTCCCCCTGTTGAGCAGATTGACGAGATGCGAGAACTGACAGAGACCCTGAGGAAGAAGGTACAGGACCTGAAAGAAGATCTGTCTGCGCAGGACAGGATGAGGACAGAAATAATCAACAAATTTGCAACGGAGAGATCCAGCTGGGATATTCAGAGAGCAAACCTAAGGAGCAAAATTAATCAGGTATGTATATACGCTCGCAACATATTTTCATATAAGATACTAAGATAAAGGAGTTTATGGAATCACATGGTGGAGATGTGTTCAACCATGTTTGGCAAGGGAGACATGTATGTAACACCTTTTGTGATCTGCGTAGATGGAGGAAAAGCTGTCTTTGACATCAAGGGCTCAAACAAAAGCCAAAGACATTCACAGCCACATGGAACTGGCGTGGGAGAAAGAGAGAGGGGAACAAAAACGGCTGCTCGAGGATGCCCACAACCTTGCCCTTGATCTTCAACAGCAACTCAAGTCACGTGACGAGGAATACAGTCAGGAACGCCGTGACCTGCTGCAGCAATTGGAGGTGGAAAGACAAGCATTCAACAAAGAGAAGAGAGAAAGAGACATTGCCATGGCGGAGGTAATCTCTTACGAAAGGTCACCTTTAGTTAATTGTTTAATATTAGTATCACGATCACATGCAATATATAATATTCCCGGAAATTATTGAGAAAGTTGTTTCGGCAAATATCTAAGACGTGTATAAACACTATAGAAGTTTACTTATATGAATATGTTGAGATGTGATTATCTTTCAGTCTAAGTGTCTTTTCAGTACTTTGTGAGACCTCGTTGTCCTGCAATACACGACTAAATGCGCCTAGGTACACTACCGATCAAAGTTTGTAGGAAATCGTGTGACAGCGTATCCCACTATTCGACTACTTCTTTCTTCATATCCTCAATATTCTAAGTCCTTTTTGATTATTCTGTCCTTCATTACTCCCTACACATTCTCAATAGGGTTAAGATCTGGGCTATAGATGGGCCAGTCTAAAGCTTAAACATTTTCGTCCGACAACCACTGTTTTGTGTAGCCCGCAGTGTGTTTTGGGTCATTATCATGCGGTATCTTCATACAGTGTTCGGGCCGTTGAAAGGAGGTGATCATTTCAGATGTCAACATGTCCTTCCTTCGTCCAATTTCCAGTGAAAATACACAACGGCGTCACTCCACGTGATGATATCCATATATGAAATTTCGGGCTATGTTTGGGGCGTTTGTAGAAAGGTTTCACGGTTTCTTTTGTCCAAATTTCACACATTTCGGAAAAAAAGCCAGAGAGAACTTTCATCAGAAAAGAAAACATTGTACCAATCTTGATTTTCGTGAAGCCTACACAAGTTTAAACGTCTTTCTTTTTGTGCATCTTTCATCAATGGTGAGGGAATTCCTCGCTTTTTCACCCAGTTAAATCTTTGTAATTCTTGTCTACTGGTTTCATTACATACCTGATGACTTCCTCTATTAAACATCTCATTTCTGATATTCTCAACGCTTTTACATTTTTCCCTACTCACAATCTGACCAAGTCGCCGGCGATCCGTAGTACTGAACTTCCTTGGCCTCCCTGCCCCTGTCTTGTGCTCAGTCCCAACTCCTGACTGAATATTCTTTAAAGTTCTGTATACTGTAGACAGAGGAATGTCATGTCTACCAGCTAACTCTTTTGCATTAGTCACACCCCTGTTAAAATCATCTAGAACCAGCTTTCTTTACTCTTCTGTTGTCAAATCTGCCATGTCAACAAAGGAAACCGTCTGCTACACAAGAGGAGATAACTCTTGATATAGTAATGTTCATTCTTAAGCCTACATGAGTTGCCTCCCATATTGAGTACCGTTCTACCTAAGTACATAATGTAACACCAGTTTTTGAAATTCTATTATCAGGAAACAAAGATGTTCTCAATAATGTCTGGGAAAACTGTACAGTATATCAAATGAAAGATACTGTTATATTAGATTCATTATGGCGAGCTATAACTAAATGTACAAACTATCCATTCATACTCGGGATAAATATCCTGGGAAAAACATAACTTTTACGACTAAAAAATAACAATGCCTTTTTAGTACTGTTTGTTATTTCAGTACGAATCTTGTGGGAAGAGACTAGTGTCGTTACAGAAACGCAGCACAGAGCTTGCACTGACACACGAGGAAGAACGAGAGGCTTCCTTGAGGGAGAGAAACGATCTACTCCGACGTCTTACTGAGAGTAGACACGCACATTCAACGGATACGAAGCGTGTATCTGATATACTTAGCAACGTACGTGTACATGTATTGGGTAATGCAATCAGATAGAAGTGATATTAAAATAATCAGGACTAAAGTGTCAACAAAAACTATATGTAATAGGAAAATGGATCTACTGTTACTTTTTCTGTGGTTAGGGTAGAATAGAAAATGCAGGGGTTGGGAGTAGAGCTTGTATGGAATTTTTTATGTAAAAACTTTTTGTTAAACCAAGACCTAAACGTAAGACTTTATCATTTCATTGTTGTATTTGGGATTCATAAATGTCCAGCGTAAATTCATACATTTTAGCGTGTTTTATATTTCTTCAGTTGATCAGACTGAGGGAACTAGGAAAACTAATTTCTAAAGAGAAGCATGAGATCACTCTCGGAACCCGAGCCCCACTGGACCCAGAAGCGGTCAATCTCGATGAGGTGATAACAATTTTGGAATTTGAAAATATTGCTCTAATTATTTAAACTAAGTCATCTTGATCATAAAATATTCCCTCTTGCATCCTCTCGATATTCTACATTTTCTGAACAGTGATCTGATTTGGTGTCCATCGTTGTATTTTCAGGCTGTTTTAAAGTACATCAAGGAGGTAAGAGAAGTTAAAATAGATTTAGTAAAATGTGTACACCTTCCTACAATGGAATTCGTATGCATTGTATGTGTTGTGGCAGATGCTTTGTGCAGCACCATCACAGCCATCTTCGAGTATCATCTTCACCCATAAGGGGATCATTATTCACGTACCACTGGATAATTCATAAAAGGGTGACATATCAATTTAAATGAAATACATGATTGATCTATCTAAACCCTAGTTACTTTGAACTGGAATACCTGATAATATCCTTCATTTAAAAACAAAACAAATGTATTCGTCGCAGTATCAATATCACAGATCTGTCTCGTTAACCTAAACCTTGATCCTTAAAAATGACCTATATGTCCGTTATCACTTATCTTTCTTCAGCATAATATCTCTTGATATCACTTAGTGATTTCATTGCTATACACACATGTGTACTAGTTATCTGAATGATATAATGTTAAAGTAGATGCATAATGAGAACAGCTGTGTTTGATGTAGCAGGATGTATGATACTGTTGTCTGTGATGATGTTGCAGGCTGTTGCTGACATCGCAGGATCTGCTGATAAATTGTCAAAACACACAAGCTCCCTCTCAGATGACCGGTCACAAATACGCAGGTAACTACGGGGGGTATACATGGTCCAAGGAAAACACTTTTAAATATAATAACAATACAATAAAACAACGGCATTTGCTGTTGGTAACGTGATGGCCGCAATCAAAACAATGTTCACTGACGCGCGTAAAATAGAAATCATCAATGAAATGTTAATGGACATTTTAGACATGTACGAGGAAACATGAATCTCAGGACATTGACAATAATTGTTGATCATGATTGTAATCCTTGTTCATGACTAGAAAAAATCATTTGGGTAGTTAAGAAGGAAACGTGTTATACCTAACTCATACATTCATGCGTCTTCCGCTCATTCGTTTCTTTCATTTTCAGAAGTCTGTCGAGTTCCGAGATAGATTTGATAAAAGAAGAACTTTCAGATCTACAAAGGGAAGGTGGTGGTGTATTCGTGGCGCACAGTAGGGAGAGTTTAACTATGCCTAAGGCAACGTCCAGATTACAAAAGAGCTGCACATTCGACAGTTCGACAGTGTGTCCTATGCGGGATGCTGCGTCACCTACAAAGCACACGTTGTCCCGGATGACCCACAGTCCCCCTTTCTATTCATCTGGCAGCAAAAGTGCACAGGCATCCCGAACATCCTCCCCGAGTCCGTCTGCGTCCCGGCATGAATCGTTGTCGCCATCTCCCTCTGTCATTCCCTCCTCCTCATCATCCAGTAGAGGCGCTACGCGACCTAAAACACTAAAGAAAAGCATATCTATGGATTCTGCTCCTGTCAGCCATCTCCTGATTTCGAGCGAACATCACACGACTGCCCAAACAGTGTCTGCAGGCACAACACCAACAGAACATTATGTTTCATCACAATTTCCTACTACTGTGCCGCCACCGGCAGACGATTCTTCGCTTTCACCGCCGAAGGTCGGAAGTCTAGACAGGTTATCTCCGCGTTCGGCTAGACGCAAGTTTTTCGAGGAGAGACCCGCATCTGAAATTGGCTTCCTGTCCTGGCCTGAGAGGAAAAAACATTACGTAGTTCACCACCAGAAGCAGTCGAGTCTTCCAGATCCTTCCGAAGTGAGGAAGGAAGCTGAGGAGGACTACTCATTGCTAGCCAGGTCTGACGGCACACGTACATTTAATATGAAATCGTCTGCGTCTTGGGATGAAAAGATGCACCATCGAGTTGTTCAGCCTGAATCGTCAAAGATAAGTCAAGAACACAGCCTTGACCAATCGAGTTCGCAGCCAGCACAGCACCTGTCTGCTAAAGAGAAGAGACGTTTTTTTAAGAAATCAAGCAGTATGGAGAGCCACATAGGGAGTTCACTGGCCAAGATAGGTACTCAGGCTATGCCTGTTGCTGCACCTACGGGTTTCATGCCCACAGGTAACTTTCCTAGAGACACACGATATTTTTGTGTTGGGGCTGATAGACTGTGTGCAAATAAAGTGTGTAAAGGAAAGTGTTTAATCGGTAATTGCTCATAACGTTATCAGTGAACGTTTACAACACATGAATTCTTATTTTCAAAGTGTGAATGGTTTTTTCGATTATAGAGTATGTGAACAGCATACTTATTGAAATATGTTAGGTTCATCTGGTTTCCTCCATATTTCACTTCAATTTCAGACATTCTAGCCAGCGTGAGGAGTAAATTCAAACTGCCTTTCAAAAAGTCCAGCAAGACCTCTGAATCGGTTTCCTCTATCCCACCGATACAGGATGTTCCCACCGACACGTCAGAAGCCCCCACTCCGTTCCAAGACGAACAGAGGTCTTCAACGGTTCCCACATCGACCACGACGATGTCAAGTCTAAATCAGCAACAAGGGGTACATCATACCATACATTGAATAGTACTTACATTGACGTATATTATCGAACAGTATTGCACAGTCATGTGCATGGTTGTCGAAACATATTCATTACGCACACGCAAGCGAACTCTTTACAGACCCTTACTCTTTACGCGTTCACCGTAAGATCCTGCTTTTCAGTTTGAACAGTAGAGCAGTAAGATGTCAGTCACCCAACTGATTGTCAAGCCCGTATCAGCATACTTTTGTAATTGTGATGGATTTCTTGTGAATGCATGAAAAGTGAATGATACCATTTTTTTCTGATACTAGGATAACAGGGGCAGATCACGTGATACAGGTACATTTAGCCGAGGGCCAATACAGCGGTCCCAGTCAGCAGAGCGACCATTTGCCTCCTCCAGGAAGATAGCAAGACTCCATTCTGAGGTGATCACACCAAGTCAGGTGTGGCAGTTCAGTGAGACAGCAGTGTAACACTCACAACGATTTGTACACTCGTTAGGACAGGCCTTACATGGCTGGGGACGAGAGCATGTTCATCCCGGCGCTGTCAGGATAGAGGCTCCACAACCGACAACAACACCCCGCCCTTACTTATCCTAAAGTACCGATAGACGGACTGATATTGAAAAAGTCGTACTTACATTCGTACCTTTTTGTAAACATCTGAACATGTCGACAGATAATTATTCATGGATTTCAGTATGATCGAGGTACACTAACCGTCTAAAACGACCTTATATTTGTGAAGAGGCTGCTGTGTTGCTGATGGTATTGCATTTATGTTCTCTCGCGCAATGAGCACGTGGGAACTGTAGGTATGTCTGGAACAAGTTCCGAGAAAGTGTAATCTAATTAGGTTCGTTCCACTCAGTTGTAAACGAATTGAATTTGTATTTCTTGTTATATTTCCATCAGTCTAACAGCTACCACACTAGCTTCTAATGCACCACGAAACTCGCATATAGCGTCGAGCCATGACGAAATGATTCAGTAGATTGCATGCTCACGGGTGATGTTTATATGCATACGTGTGTGTGTCCTTGAAGGTGTGTGTGTCCTTGAAGTAGATTTACAGTGCACGACCATGGTCACACCATGCCGCAGGATTACTGTAGGTTCCCCACTCAGACCTAACTAGTGTTTATTATCGTTCCATGTATTTTGTTAATTCTGAGCTCCAGGTAATGACCATCTGTTGGCGTCTTTGGGGAATGGACCGCCGATTGTCCTGTCTCAGGTCAGACGCTCTAGCCACTAAACCGGTTGTTCAAGAATAAACTTTTGACCACAGGGGCGTGTCACGCTTAGAAACAGCGTTAGAAAGACATATAAGTAAATAGACCCTACCCTAGTACTATATAAAAGGAAAGGGATGTAACGACGGAACCACCCCCTCCTCAATGTAAGTTAGATTTCACCACGTAAACTATTTTTAAGGCCCCGTCGAGGCCTACGGATCAAAAGCGAGATGATTTCCCTACAAAATGAGCTATAAATGGTCACAATCGGATCATCATTTCAAAAGTTATACGCCACGACTCACCGAAAACAGCTACCTCCGCAATTCCAAGCCAAAATCATGGATCACCCAAGACAGCGAAAACTCACCTTATAAAATCGTTTATTAATTCCAGCCACGTTGACAGCACCTATGTTGGGCTAGATTCGATCGGCAGCGGCATTCCACGGGTCTAAAAACTTATTGCAACATCTACAAATCATTTCCTCGACAGTAAGCAGGCATTTTCTCCAAAACCATCGGCAATCATACTCACTTGTCGGCCATAGATGGCCTTGACATTTAAATGACCTGAGCAGTAAATTTGTAAGAATTATTTTAGAGGTTAAATATTTATAAATATAATTTCCTAAAAAATGAATCAATATCGAATGCATTTTTACAACCTCTAAAACTATTCTTAACAATTTACTGTTCCGTACACCATCCAAAATGAAGGATTATTGCAAAGTTCATATTTCGCGCCCATTAGCAAACCGTCAAAATCTTACAGTATATTATATTTTCCACCAATCGGATGGCCAAATTTCGTTTCTGCGGATCTGCTCAGATCACTTGAATGTCAAGGCCATCTATGGCCGACAAGTGAGTATGATTGCCGATGGTTTTGGAGAAAATGCCTGCTTACTGTCGAGGAAATGATTTGTAGATGTTGCAATAAGTTTTTAGACCCGTGGAATGCCGCTGCCGATCGAATCTAGCCCAACATAGGTGCTGTCAACGTGGCTGGAATTAATAAACGATTTTATAAGGTGAGTTTTCGCTGTCTTGGGTGATCCATGATTTTGGCTTGGAATTGCGGAGGTAGCTGTTTTCGGTGAGTCGTGGCGTATAACTTTTGAAATGATGATCCGATTGTGACCATTTATAGCTCATTTTGTAGGGAAATCATCTCGCTTTTGATCCGTAGGCCTCGACGGGCGGGGCCTTAAAATAGTTTACGTGGTGAAATCTAACTTACATTGAGGAGGGGTGGTTCCGTCGTTACATCCCTTTCCTTTTTATATAGTACTAGGGTAGGGTCTATATCCTTATATGTCTTTCTAACGCTGTTTCTAAGCGTGACACGCCCCTGTGCTTTTGACCCCATACTGTGCTGTTTTATCTGAAATGTAGACTAATGCTCACACACTGATAACGGTTAGTTTTGATAGAAACAAATAATTTGTTTTAAATTGAAAAACGAGCCCCAGTGTGATGGGAGATTCAGAAATCTAGTCTTCCTTAATTTTGGGCTTTAGTATTGGAGACAGGGCTGGGCGGAAGGGAAAATAATGTGGTTCTGGGACTGTGAGGCAGATCTGAAATACGGTGTCAACTCAATCGTCTATCACCCATGTTATCTGCGACGCTAATGTCCGGACAGACGCAGAGAAAGGCAAGACGCACTCGCTCTTCACTCATTGTATGGACATACAAAGCTATATTCATACAAATTTAGGGCGTGAGCAATCCATGTACACTCTCTCCCCGCTTGTGTACTGGGACGGTTGGTAACGAAACCGTTATTTCTGTCACATTAATTTTTCGAAATCTATCTTTACTCTTGTGAGGTCATATTATTTATATTTCATGATCCCCTAGCTTTCTTGGAGTTTTCTTTCTCTGTTTTACAGAAGTACAGTTGTAGTGACAGTGCGCAAAAAAGTGACTATGATAATATTTGGAACGTTTGACAGTTGTTTGGGAGAGCCTTCCTAAATAGGTGTGATTATATAGACGTTTACCATATACACTGCATCCAGATGTATGATCATAGGGAATAATATCATAATAGATAGTTAACAAGCCTAGCCATCCTATCAACCGTGTGTCACGATACGGCCATTATATCGGTCGTGAGTGAGGACTGTACACTAGCCTCATATCACGTTACAGGAAAACTAACAAGGATGGGTGCAAGTCGGATCTACATTGCTTCAGAAGCTGAAACAAGGATTACAAGGATATGACGAATATTTCCCGAAAGAATGGCATGCTGACTCAGCTCAAACCACTGTCCATGTTGAATTATGTTTGTGTAAATTATGTAACCGATGTGTCACTGCAATGTAACACAGTTATTCAAAATAATAAACTGGAGTGTTGATAGCAATATATGTGTTTGCTTTTCTCAGTGATTTATTATTTATTAAGTTGTGGCGGTATCACGAGTGGCAGGTTGGGGTGTAATGATGTTTCCTGTGTCAGGATTATGCCACGAGCCAGAGGGACGCACGAAACTTCATATTCCCCTCGTCATACTGCTGCCCACATGTTTCAGCCTACTATTGGTAGAAGAATAACTACCCTACCCCTGTTAACTAACCTTGAGGATCGTGAGGTAAATCTAGCGCTAGCTCATTTTCAGTAATGATCACACATCCAATAAGAAATAGTCATGTATGGTAGTCATGCTACCAATTGCTCATGCTTCTGCAGTGAAAATAGAACTGTCATTAGTAAATGGCAATTGTGTAATCATGCCATAAGTAAGTCTAAGCGGAAATGCATCATCACTTGCAACGACAGCGGCTGGTACTTTTTCCCGTCCCTTGAGCTGTTGGCATAATTACAGGTGTACGACGGGTAGTTGTTTTCAAATTCAAGAAAGATTGTTGATATAGCAAAGAGGTTGCTTTGGCATTTTCAACCTTGTCAATTCGTGACTGACTATAGGCTCTAGGCATTGCCATGGAGGTATATCCTGCATTTTGGCTATCCTTGAGAGATTTAAATTAGCATCTTCTATATGAGGTTTCATGCGATTAACAAGTGCCGGTACTACATTTGATTTCTTTAGATGCAGATCCACATAAGGAGATTTCAAAACACTGTCAAAGGCTGGAAATATCCGGTAGTGTCCCATTTTTGACAGCGTCTTGGTCACTGATCCGTGAAGGTGTAAAGTTTCGCTGTGAAAACTGGGACTAACAGAATGACCACTGTCAAAACTGGGATAACTAGCTGTACCAATTAAGGGTAATTATGTGAATGCAATCAAATGAGAGAAGTACAGAACAAGTAACATTCCTGAACACTAATACCGCTTGGGGATGAGAATAGTTCTTGGTTTTTTACCCTATTAAAGACTCGGGCAGCCAAACACTATCTGACATTTGAACCTGCTACTTGAACGACGGTAAGCTGACTGTCAAAATTGGGACAACTGGCTATATCAATTACAGAAGTGTGAAATTTCACTGTCAAAATGGGGACTGTCAAAATCGGGACTAAACCAAATATCCGACTTGAGGTATTTGGTCATTGCAGAGCAGGCTTTACCCTTCTTAAATGGAGGCATGGTTCTTTAGCCCCAACATGTAAACTTTCGACTGGCCAAGTTCTGAATGCTCCTTAACACAAGCTCAGACCCTGATGATGAACACTATCACGCATGCTTAGGTATGATTTACGAGTTGAACCATAAATAAAACATCCATAGTCCAGTGTGTCTTTGTCCCCACCACAGTGAGTATTTGACACACAACCTTAAGAATATCAAGCGCCTGTAAACAGTTTGTTTTAAAACATTTGACCTGATGTATAAAAGACAGTTTGGCCCCTACAAAAACTTTGTTTCCTCAACCACCTTGACGGGTGTATAATGCAAGAACAGTTCAGGGTCGTTATGCATTTTTCTCTTTTTAAAAAATGGAGACAACATGTTTTGGCCTATGAAAACTTGAAACCTTTTTCCTGAGATCACTTATGAATTTTATTTAGACACAGCTGAAGTTTGTAGGAATTGGGATGATAATTGCCGTGTGCTAGAAATGTTGGCATGGATCATGTTCCCAAGTTGTCAAGTGCTGAAGAGAGAAGGATCCGTTATAATCCTCTGAATTATCGGAGGCAAAATTTACATGTTTCGTCTCCTGCTGAGTTTTATACTTTTGAAATTTGGGAGTGTAATTAGAGCTAGAACCTCTTGCTATTGCTTCCCATAATTTATTTGCGATGTCTAGTTTACTTGTCAGAATATTATCACGAACCTTGAGATGACACTTTGCTAAGAGGTATTTGACAGTTTATTTTAGAAACAAATGCACCACATGGGGAATATTTTGTCTTTTTCATACTTCTCGGGGCCGTAGCTCTGATTTTTTAAAGGCTGGTTAGAAGTGAGGATGAAGGGTTAGCATTAAAAGGTTTTACTGCCATTCCCCTTGTTTTCTGGCTATCTGCAATCGTTAATTGAACCATGGTTCCATAACATAGGGAATTTTAGAGGATCTAGGAATAGTTTTTCATTGCAATGTCAACGGATTCTTTGAAATTGATTCTATAGGACCATCTACATTATGCTATGACTCAGATAATGGGTTATCAGTACATAACTTCTGGACTATGATCCAGTTATCTTTATTGATATTCCATGGAGAAATAGGAATTTCTTCATTGGGTGTAATATTTTTCCGAATCGTTGGAAAGTAATCACTCCCACAAAAATCACCATGTAGTATCCATTCAAAATCTTTGAAAAATGGAGGATCTGCAATGGTAAAATCGCGAGCCAAATATGTCCCAGTAGCTGTATGTAGGTATGTATTGGAATCATACTTAAAAATACACAGGTCATTGTTGAAAAGAAATTGTTCGAATATTTTACCCTTGTTGTTCAAGTCAGAGCTGCCCAAAAGCGTACTGTGTCAATTAAAATCGCCCATAATCATGAAGGGTCCTGGAAGCTAATCAATCCAATTCTGAATCATGACGAGTTGTAGAGAAGTGGAAGGTGGGATATATAACGGGCATAGTGCAATTGCAACATGTAATGTTAGTC